ACAGGAGGCATACTCAAAACCCCATTGGAAAGCAAGTTATAGCTGCACTGGTTTTGGGTGGTTTTTAGGGGTCACAGGGACAGTCCACTGCAACAATAAGACAACAGAAAGACTCACTAGCATTACCCTCAATCTGAAACAAAATTGATACAAAAAGTTAAAACTGTACCAAAAATTAAAATTTAATTCCCCTTATCTAGTATGGTATAATGGAGAGCTTCTTTCATAAGAAGCTTCCAATCAGTATTTAAATTCAAACTTTTGAGACTTAAGAAAAAAAATAAAACAAGAAACACTTTATAAAATCCCTCAAGGATTGAGTCTTTGGAAAGAGCAGCAAAAGGCTATCTGCAGGAAATTACTCAAAAGGATTCCATTCAGTGATTACAGCATTTACTATAAACCAGTAAGTGCTGCATACACAGCTAATGTAAACACACATGTAGTTTTTGATAAAACCATCTGCAATGCCTGCACTGTACTTCTATTGTTCTAAAACAGTCCAATCTAAATCATCTCATAATATTCAAGTATTTATATATGTAACAGTTCTTTCCATTCAAGTCAAGACAGCATATCTGTGTATATATATAAATATATGTATAAATCCCTCCATCAAATTATTAGATTTACCTCATTCTGTTGTTCACACAGAAAATGTTACCAAGTTCTGCAGCTGTCAGCTCACTTCCTTCCCAAAATCCTCTGCAACCAACTCTTTTCCAGATCTCTCTCTGACAATAATTGCTCAGAGCAGCCTCTGTGCTGCTTTTTGGCTTCTGTAGCCTCCAGATATAACAAAGGAGAGTCCATACATGTCAGGGTGGCCACATCTACAAGTACATGCACAGACCCCTGCTTTGTGTGCCAGATACAGGAAATGCAGAACAAAGCTGCAGGAGCACAGCAAGCTTCACCAGAAGGGTGATGCACTCTTGAGCACCCTTACATCTGCTGAAATGTCAGTTCCACCTGCAACGAGCATTAAAATTCTTACACTTGTGGATTTTAAAACCAGGACTTCAAAACAAAACCCCTCTCTTCATTCCAAAACCCTTTCAGGACTCATGGGCAACTTTTTTTTATATGTTTGGATTACATTTACCTTTCCCTTATATCACATTTTCTACTATCAGAGCAGCATTCCCCTTGGGCTCAGATTCTATTTCACTTTGATTCTTGTTTTCTTCTTTTACTTCTTTAGAGCTCTTCTTTTGCTCCTCAGTTTCTGCTTTAGCTACCTCTGAATTCTGTTCTTCTGTCACACTTGATGGGTTTTGTTGTGCATCTTCTTTGTTGCTCTTCACCACCTCCTGCAGATTGTATTTCCTGAACAGAACATAGTCCCTCACCACACTTAAGCAACAGACGGTTTTTATTATTTCCACCACAATTGTGTATTGTGGATTATTAAGATCAACCTTGTTTTCTGGATTGAGGCTGCCCACAATTCCTGTAAAAGAAGATGCAATTTAAAAGATGCTGGGAAAACAGTTTAAGAGCATAAGCATGTCTTGTTTCTCAGTAATTGCAGTGAGAAAATTTTTCAGTTTCTTCAGTCCTACTGGTGGTACATTCTGAGAGTCCTGCTCTGTTCCAACCATTAAGCAATTACAAAACTAATTTGCTATAACTGAGGGGGATCTTGCCTCCTCTCTCTTCATTTTTATCCATTCAATAAAACACTTGAGCAAGGTGGAGCTATTATATGAGTCAAATACTGAACCAAAATAGTAATATTATTATTTCAATACAGCATCCAGAGAGAAAACCAAATGGCATTTCAAAGCACATATAACTGATGCTGCAAATTAGAATCAACATTGTTCTCTCTTCTGTTTATAGTCTCTTAAGACATCAACACCAACAAGGAATACTGATGTCAAGCTTTTTTTTAAGTGTTAGAGGAGCTTTTAGAATTCAACAAAAAATGTGTATGTCCATTATGACCTCTTTTAATAGTCTGACCCATGTTGTGCATGCAATCTTGTTCTGTCTGAAAACATACATACCTGCCAGTTCCTTAATTACTTCTTCCCTACTCATATGGCTGTTATTACGAGCTTTGTAAACAATCTGAAAAGTACCCTTGTTAGGGGCTTTAAACCAAGGCTCAAAGAACGTTTCTGTGTATTTTTTCATATCTTCCATAAAAGCTTTGCAAGTTCCAGAAATGGGCAGCATGCGCAGAATGACTCTTGTTTTCTTCTTTTTAGTGGTGTGCATATCCTTTAGTATATGGTGCACCAGGTTCTCAGGTTCTACAAGAAAAACAGTTGGGTATGAGCAACAAATAGAAGGCATCATCTCTCCTCTTCTCCTTCTATATAATAAGCTAAAAACTTGGCTGCACTGCTGTCAGCCTCAAATCCTTTTATGTAAACAGCTGTTTTACTATATCAAAACTTAATCATTGTTTGCCAAGATTGTTTGTCAAAGCAGTTTCCTATACGTTTAGCTGCTTCACTCATAACAAAATTCAGTGGCACAGCCAAAGGGAAGGGTATTTGTTTGATATACACGTGTTACTTGGAAGCCACACTCTGTGGCCTTTTACTAACAGTTTGAGAGCATTACTCAGCATCAGCAGAAGTCCCACCTATGCCCTGGGTTCTGATGAAGACCACGTTGTTGGCACCGCTCTCCACCGACTGGAACCGCCGCAGCTTCTGCTCCGTCGAGGCACGGATCTGGCCAACCTCCTTCTTCACAGCAGCCTCGACATCATCCTCATCCTCCTCCCTGTCGCTTCCAGACAGCCTCTCCTCGTGATCTGAAAACTTCACACAGGCACCATTTGTTGGTGAGCACCGAGCAGCAGCGCCCAGCTCACAGCCCGCAATGGGCCCGCCGCACAGGGCACGGCCCGGGCCGCAGCGGGGCTGCGAGGGGGCTCGCCCAGAACCTGGGGCATTCGGGGGCGTGGTGCACACGCGGCTCCTTCTATACACGCGGCTCCCTCCCCACACACACGGCTCCCTCCCCACACACACGGCTCCTTCCACACACACACACGGCTCCTTCCACACACACACACGGCTCCTTCCACACACACACACACACGGCTCCTTCCACACACACACACACACGCGGCTCCCTCCCCACACACACGGCTCCCTCCCCACACACACACGCGGCTCCTTCCCCACACACACACGCGGCTCCCTCCCCACACACACGCGGCTCCCTCCCCACACACAGCGGGAGCCGATGCCTCGGGGCGCCGCTCCCCGCCCCGCCAGCTCGCCCCGAGCGCCGCCGGCCGGGCCGCACGCACCTGCTCGGGCCCGTAGAGCAGGTCCCCGTACTCGCCCAGCAGGCTGTAGGCCTCCCCCACGCACTTGCGCTCGTTCATGTTGCAGGTGATGAGGATGCCGCGCATGCCGGCCTCCAGCTGCCGCCCGGCGCCGCGGGGCCGCTTGGCCCGGCCGGCCGCCGCCGCGAAGTGCCCCTTGGGCCGCCGCTTCCGCGCCGCCGGCTCGGCCGCGGCCATCGGGCAGCTCCGCCAGCACCGCCGCGATGGCGTCAGCGCCGCGCCCGCCCCGCGCCCGCCCGCCCGGCACAGCGCCGCGCCTGGAGCGGCGGCCGCGGGCCCCGGCGAGCGAACCTCGGCACTGAACCGCCGGAGAGACTTGCCAGGACCGACCCGCCGGGAGCGACCCGCCGGGAGCGACCCGCCGGGAGCGAGCCTCCGGAGCGCGGGTGGCGGAGCCAGGGTGGCGAGCACTCTAGTGGCGCGTTCAGCCGCGGCCAAATTCGTAGCCCTTGATGCCTTCGCTTCCCCCGAGCTCCGGTTCCAGAGTTTAAACCTGTGTTAGTAATGCCGGAGCCGAGGGGAGCGAGCAGCCCTCGGTCCGGCTCTGCAACGCCGCGTCCGACAGCGACCCGTGCGCTCCACGGACGGAGATGCTTCGGCCGCTTCCCTGCCGGTCCGAGCCCCGAAGGTGTCACGGCGTAGAGGGACCAGCTAAACCAGAAACTTTGAACAGGTAAATGGAGGCTTGGAAAAACAGTGAACATATGCTAACAGAACAGTCGTGGCCCGTAGCGTAGTTCCTAAAGGAAGGCGTCTGTGTGCATCCCGGTCTGTAAGAGCCGCCTTTCCCTGCTGTAACTTTCAAGCTTCTTGGACAATTAAGGGGTAAGAATTGTTACAGGTTCTGATTTGTGGAAAAAACTGACCAAGGCAGTTGATCCAAATTCAATATAAGAAAACCACCACTGGAAGCAAACTGCACTAGAAGTGGAGAAAAAATTAAAGTACTTTCTGCTTTTTTGCAGGATTTTTTACAAAGAAAGACATTGCAGATTTACACAGTAATGTAAAGTAAGACATTACACTATATCCTTAGTTTAGGTTTGAATACCTTCTTACCTGATTCTGTCTGTCCCAGGGGCTACACTACAAGCTAAAGCAGACACTGATAGAAATGAAATGGGAAACCCAGAGAGGAAAAAGCACAACAGTAATGTGTGTTAAATAAAATATTTAATGAAATATCAGTATCTTACCTTTATTGTTACTTAAATAATAAAAAACTCTGTAAGAGTTTAAGAGAATACTATGCCTTCAAGAATCACTTTTGATGTGCGACATCTTGTAAAAAGATTTTGAAATCTTTCAGAAGTTTCAAAAATTAAAAGTTGTAGGCATTACAAGTATATTTAGGAAAAAAAGGGCAAATAAAATGTTAAGGACTGGACTACTAAAGTATTTAAAATATATGATAAAACAGAAATTCAGGAATTGTAGCAACAGCTGCTCATACTCTAATTTTAGCACTTATAGTTTTATCTGTTCTCTCACACTTTATTAAGGAGTTACTTTATGATCTGCTGATATTTTTGTGTGTTTGAGCAACTTTCCTTTCTATTTATATTAACCAAGAACTGTCCTTTTCATCCCATTCTGAGAGTATATATCTGACATCATTTGACTGTCCTGATTCCATTAAGCATGAAACTTAGTTTAGGATTCAGACAAAAAATTGTATCCATTTTCAAGTTCTCATAGAGGGTCTAAGACACCAATATTTTTTGTTGGAAGAATTCTCTGAATTACTAGGAACAGTTCCAAGAGATGTCAAAGCATCTGCATTAAAGGTGAGACCACAAGATTTTTCTTTCAGAAGTGCACATTCCCACTTGAAGTATCCACAACTTTTCTTGTTTCCTCCTTGCTTGCCAACAGGACAACAATAAAATGCTCTGCCATGATTTGGGCCAGCATTTGACACAGAGAGTTTTTTGGCTCTTCGGCCGCAGTTACACAGAGGGGGAGTTGATTTTCCATTTCTCACAGCTCTTACAGACTCATTCATATTGACTGTGGAGTTCAGCACTGCAGGAAATACTCTGGGCAAATTTGAACTTCTCAAAGCTAAGGAGTGATCAAAAGAGGAAGTCTTCTCTTGATAGATATGAAAAGACTGCTTTTTTGCTGGTGGGCCTGTTTTTGGACTAGTTGGCTTTCTTTTAGGAGCCTCTAAAGGAGTAGAGTAATTTCCAGTTAATGCTGATTGTGCTGAAACAGCATTTCCCTTTGCAGATGGTAACTTGAAAGCTGAAAATTTTGAAGTCTGCCTTTGTACTGTCCCTATATTATAGATTGTAGTATCAGGACTTTTGTAAACAACAGACCTCAGATGTTCCATGGGTGCTACACTTTCCTCCAAACCCTGATTATCTGAACTCGTCACAGCCAATTGTTTTGAAATAGTTTCTTCTTCAGACACTGTTAGATTATCTGTACTTGAGTCATCCTCGAGCTGAACAGAGTCTGAATTTTGTTCGTATTGAGATTCTGGTATCAAAGCAACATCTTCCCAGTCTGTCAGCAGAGACAGGCACTCAGAGCTGGTGCTGATGTCCCCACTGGAGACAGTAACTGAGGGGATGGTGGTGGAGACCAGCACCAGCCCTGATCCCTGCACTGGGAGGCTGGGCCTGGCTGTTCTCAGAGGCTGCCCCGTGCTCAGTCCCCGCTGGATGCCTGCTGATGCAGGACTGGGACATGGCTGTGCCAGACCCAGGGGAAGAGGAAATCTGTCAGGAGATGCTGCTGAAGAGCTTTGGCTTTGAGCATGGAGTTCAGTCCTTGAGCTGCTGCTGGGTACAACACACACATCTGCAGAGGGATCAGTGCAAGTGATCTGCTGCTCCCCAGCCTGTAGATCAGAATTTATCTTGTTTCCAGCAATACCCTTGTGTTTGTTCTCAGCCAGAGGTTTTGTTTCACAAGTTCCATCTCTAGATGTTTCAGGTCTGCTCTTACTTCCCAGCGGAGTCTTGTCAGTGACATTTACAGTCAGTGTTCTGGAAATTAAATTACTCTTCTGATGTGCCTAGGGAGTCCATAAACAAAAGCAGATTTTGGAAAGTGAATACCCAGACATTTTGGGAATAAATGCACAAAATTAATAAGCATATCAGCCTAAGGTTGTTCTTTCCAAATCACAGTCAGGATGCTGGGTTTATTATTTGAATAGCTCACCTTTCATCTGTATTCCAGGCTACAAAGCAAGTAGACAGGAAGATACAAAGTAGTGACTAACCTTATCCAAAGATTTAGTAACTTTCAGCACACATCCATCACAAATCAGCCTCCAAGCAAGACGAGCAGTATTCCGGGAATCATCCAACCCTTCAAAAGTATGGGTATATTAATGGCTTCTTTTTAACTGCTACTGGGAATAGTTCTTATTACTGGAAAAATGTAATCTATGTAAGCCTTGCAGAAATGGCAAGGAGTCAGAGAGCTGTGACACTAAGTCATCTAGTTCAAAAAAGGGAATGGAAGTAGAAAATTCCAGATAATTCTCTGTGCTGAAACATCTGAAGGATTATCCATAGAGCTGAATATCTATTCACAATTTTAAATATCCTTGCTCTTTTTATTAGTCAAGTAAAAAAAAAACATATTGTGCTGGAATTCTCTCACATTATCAGGATATCCAGAGCTATCAGGTAAAATCAAGTCTCTTTATCTTCTCTCAACCTCTTTTGCATCCTAGCAATTCATAAATTGATCTTATGAACATACATTCAATAGCAGTAGAAGAGATTTCAGAAATGAAGTATGAGGTTAGAAATAACAAACTGATCTCAGAGCACTTTGCCTTTCTTGTTTTGGTGGTCTGTTGGACAGAACATGGCATAACCTGAAGCAGTAGTAACTGCTCAGAGTAATGACTAGCTGCTTTAGGTTAACTAGAGCTAGATATTTCTATTTAGCTTCATAAGCTACATATATTTATATATATATTAAAATGAGGATCATCATGCTTACCAGAATGTTCCCGTCCTTCAAAAGCTATCCCCAAATCCTGCAAAGCTCCATTTAGCCCCTTAGGCTTTCTGTTATAGAAGGCCTAAGGAAAGAAATGCAGGTGCTTAACATGAAGCATTTAAAAACCTTTCCCTAGTGAAGCAAAGCCATTTCAGAAATATCCCCTTACGAATAATAAATCTCACAAAGCAATTAAGCAAGTTGGGTATCTGCATTTTAGGATAAAACCATAAGTTACTTACCCTGTTAGAAATCAGAATGGAAAGAAACATGAATTCCTTCTCTCAGTCTTAAGCAAATCCATTCTGTCTGAGCTCTGGAATCATTTGTCTGCACTCTATGGCTTACTTACACTGATGAAAGTCTTAACAGACCAGCATTGAAGAATACAACTATAAATAATACCTTAAGATGCAATCAAAGGCATGGGCATGATATATTTGGCATAGGTATGGATTTTTTGTAAGTGAAAAAAGTGAGTATTACTATTTGCTCCTAATATGAGTATCTGATTTGATCAATACAAAGGGGGAATGTTCACACTGTTTGTCTTTAGAGACCTAATTCTGCTGCCTACCTGTAAGGTACCTCTAAACAGACTATAATGACAACTTCCTCCACAGCAATACAAGGCAGCAATGAGAGCACACAAAACAAAAAAAGATAGGAAGCAAGGACAGCAAAACATGTCAGGAAAGGAAGAGCAGCTCATAAATTCTCATAGTTATCATTCTTTCATCAAACAACAATCCTTTCCTAGCATTAAGATTTCCATTCAAGTTCAGAGTTCTAGGGCAGTTGGTTATTGAGCAGTAACAACACGAAATAAAACCAGGTTACACTGGTCCCTGGGACATAGAGCATTGCCGTGTAAGCCCAGGTACAGTCAGCCTTTGAGGTGAGTGTGGGTAGAAATGTTTCAGTCTGTCCATCCTCTCACCCTGTAGGTCGCTTTGAGATCAATCCAGGCATTCAGAATGTCGGGTTTGCGCAGCTGCTTCCTCCTACACTCGTAGTGCAAACACACACCCAGGTCCCAGTCTGTGTAGGGAGAACCACAGTCAATCCAGCACTGCAGAACTGGCCTAAAATCCACGTAATGTGGCCTGTGTGTCCCTTCATGTGGCCTAAAAATCTGCATAAAGGGACACAACAGCAACACAATGTCAGCATCCTGTGCTGCTGGAGGCAGGAGGCACAGGCTGTGAAGTGGTTGTCCAAGGGAGACACTGGGGTTGCTGCAATGGGACACCAGAAGAAGCAAACCCCTGCTAGTAATTAACTTCAGATAGAGATCTCAAAGATCTCTAATTCATTTAGATACACTAAAAATGATCATACAATTCACTAAAGCAGAAAAATGTAACAGTATCAGACCCTGGAGTCAAAGATGCAGCGAACATGTCAGGATTCCGTGGATTTCATCTTTTCAGTCTTATCCCAATATTCCATATTTTATACCTAATAATAGGATTTGGGCTGTATAGAAGTGAAGACACAATCTCACTAGTGCCACCTAATGTTATTACTGTGCAGAAAAAGCAAATGAAAATGTTATTTACCTGTCCATGTAACAAAGGCACACACTTTTGCTTCTGAAGTAGAATTACTCTGACTATCTGTACTGAACATAATTTTCTTCTCCTTTTGTATCTTTTGAATCCATTTCATAAACTGTGATAAGCAGATGTTAAGAGGCACCCCTTGGTCAACTTGATTCTTCAAGGAACAGAACAAGAAGCATGTATGTGTTAGAATTCACTGAAATTCATTTGAGGTTTATTTCTTTATAGCCTCTTTAAATAAAACAGTAAACACCAATTATACAATTATAAAACAATGTTAAGTCATAATTATACCTGTGTTATGCCAGTTAGTTCTGTGCAGAATTCAGAGAGAATAGGATGCTCCTGGGGCTGAACATACATATGGAATTCAGATTCAATGGCTCCTGTTGAGGTGTTTAACAGGACTGCTGGAAATTCAACTGCAACAATCACGGAGAAGAAGAAACAAAACAAACAAAACAGAACCAAAACACAAGGCCAGAAAGGTTAAAACTGTTCACAGGAATTAGACCATTTTCATATGGGTCTCTGCCAACTCAACATACTCCATTATTCTATTCCATTATATATATTTATGTATATATATTATATAATGGAGTAAATTTTATATCTATAATTTATATTTATATAATTTTATAAAAATAAAATTTTAGATATAAAATTATAATTGAATTAAAATAAATTTCTAAAACTTTATAATTTTATATATGTATTATATAAAAAGTTTTTATATATCTAAAAATTTATTATATAAAAATTTTATATAAAATTTTATATTATAAAATTTATGTAGAATTTATATCTATATATATTTATTTTTATATGTATGTATAAACATAGAGTTCAAGCATGATGCTGATAAAGCCAAGGTTGTGAGTTTGATCCCTTTATAGATCACTCGCTTAAGAGCTGGAGTTGATAATCCCTGTTGGTCTCTTTCAGTTCAGAATATTCTGTGATTTATATATATATATATATATACACAATATATATACACACAATTATATTATTTATATATCTCTTATCCCATTACACTGGGGCTGAAACGCCAGGGGTTAAAGGAACCCAATACAAGGAGGGCCCATAAAGACGACACCGGTTCAGAGCCAGCTCGGGGCACTCACTGATCTCGGGCCCGCGCCGATCGCGGTCCCCCCAGCACGTGGCCTCGAAGTCCAGGACGATCAGGAAGGCGAAGCGCTGCCCCGCGTCCGCCCGCGCCCCGCTCCGCGTCCGTGCGCTGCTCCGCGCCAGCCCCAGCCGCCTGCGGACACCGACCGAGCTCAGGGGCCGCCCGCCGCCGCCGCGGCCCCTCCGCGCCCGGACACCGCCACCGCCGCGGCCCCTCCGCGCCCGGACACCGCCACCGCCACCGCCGCAGCCCCTCCGCGCCCGGACACCGCGCACCGGCCCCGCACCTGGCCAGGCGCTTGGTGGCCATGGCCGGCTCCGCCGCCTGAGCGCGCTGCCGCCGTTTCAAAGCTCCCGCGGGCCCGCCCCCATCGCGCTCTCGGCGCTCGGCTGCTCCGGCCGCGGCCCTGGCGCCGCCCAGCGCCATCCGAGAGCCCCCGGGAGCGCGGGGCCATCCCCGGCCGTGAGGGGCCGCCTGCTCCCGCCGCTCCCGTGCGGGCCATGGCGAAGGGGCTGTGCCTCAACGGGCGCAAGCGGCTCGGCGAAGGCGCGGAGGGGCCGCGGGCGGCGCGGAAGAGGCGGAAGGCGGATGGCGGCGGCCCGGGCCTGGGCCCCGAGGTGAGAGCCGAGCGCCCGGCGCTGTGCGGGCCCTGTGTCCCTTACGGCCGCTTCTCGGGGGCACTGGGAGTCCCCAAAGCCGTGTACAGCGGCAGCGTACCGGGAGGGTCGGGTACAGCCGGTGCCTGCTGATAACAACACAGAATGTCCTGAGTTGCTCGCAGGGCTCATCGAGTCCAGCTCCTGGCCCTGGAGTTGTGGCCAGTCCAATCCCGCCATGTGCCTCAGAGCATTGTCCGAACGCTTCTCGACCCTTGGCACGTTTGGGGCCGTGACCGCTGCCCTGGGGAGCCTGGTAGTGGCTTGGATTCTGCTCCAAGAGGTGTGGGAAATAACTCATTTGGAGTGCTCAGCATTGCATTTAAGGAATTTTGTTTAAAAATAGATACATTCTCCAATATAATCTTCTCGTAAACAAAGCAGATCTTGAAAGGAGCGTTGTGCGTGCTCAGCACATGCACCGCTGAGGGATGCAGAGCAGCCCCACGGGGACACCTCACCCAGGGCACACTGAGTCACTGCCCGTGGAACAGGAGTTGGTGTCTCCAGCCTGTGAGATCAGCCCTGTTTGTACCCGCTTAGAGACAAATTTCTGTGCTTGGCAGTACCCTTTCCTTGGTGAATCAAAACCTCTGCTCTTTGTGTGGGTTTTTTTGCAAAGCTTTAATTAGGCTGTATCGAAAACAACGGTGTCATTACTTGTCTCAGCTTGAGAGATGAGGCACTAGCAATTACACCAGCCTGTACTGTTATTGCTGGATGATTCTTAACCACTGGAACCACGAACGTTGTCACCTCTCTTTAACTTCCTTACCCAGTGACAAATGTCCTGAAGAGCACAGCAGCTCAGTGCCATGTGGGCAGGCTCTGTCCAAATTCCCGAGCACGTCGCTTGTTAGTGTGGGGGGAAAAGAACTTCCAGTGGGTGTTCATGCTGTGACGTTTTACATTGTCTAGTGTTGTGTGGTGTTTTTCCCCCTGTATGCCTTGATGTCTTTTCATCACCCGTAATAAGAATATCTTTAAAATTTTTAGAAGAATTCTTTGGAAGAGGCAATCTGCTCAGTGGAGGTCACCAAAATGCTACATTAGCCTTTAGAATAATTTGTGTATTTAGGCTTAAAGAACTGCTGTGTAGGAATGTGTAGCACAGTCCCGACCTCATCTGCTCCGTGCTTTCTTTCTGCATATTCCTTGGATTTTACTGAAGCGTTTTTCCCTGCAGGGGTCAGCAAACCCTTGTGGCAGAGCAGATCCCACACTCTAGATAGAGAAAACCTCACATAGAGTGAGTTGCTAATGTAACACTTGTACAAATGTTTAAAGCTCTACAGCAGCGAGTGGGGGAAAGGGTTGAGAGACCAGAATATTGTGTTTGCATATCAGTTGTCTCCTTACTGCATACTTCTGCTTATGTTAATCTTTGTTAAATGAATCTTCAAAGTTAGAGTACCTTCGAAGGTTACTGAAATCTTGAGTAAATGTAATATTAAAGTGGGATCTGAAAGGAAACTGCTGCCCATAAAGGGTAGAGGAGTTAGCTTAAATGTAGCTGGTTGTATCCAGGTAGTTTCTTTTTCCTTCTTTTTTCGTGTACTGGTGTAATTACATGAAACCTCTCTTACCAGCATTTCCCTTTCCACAGGTAAAGTCCTGTCATTTGTCAGCAGCTCTGCTGGGTGAGGACTCTGAAATCAGCCAGGAGCAGCTGTATGAGCTGCTGAAATACGCAGCTCTGGGGAAATGCCACAACGCAGCCCAGCCCAGGTACAGCCACAGCTGCAGTCAGCCTGGTCTCCTGTTCTGGCCTGGTGTGAAAGCATTCCTGCAGGAATATTGGCCATGCTGGGTTTGGAGCACTCACTGTGGAGTTGCCATAATGGCAGCCTGGATTGTGCAGATATTGTTGTTAGATTTGGCCAGGAAGCAGAATTCCTCTTCTGGCAAAAATCCTACCATTCCACAGTTTTGTTTCATGCAGTTTTGAAAAACTGAATGACTGCTGTGGAACTGAAGAAGCTCCACACACTGAGAAACAAAATACCCTGTTAAAATATTAACACGAATATTAATGCATTTCACGTTAGATGTAATTGAAACAGAGTGTTCTAAAGCATTTTAGAAAAAACAAACACATTTTAGTCACTTCCCCTTTTCTCTGGGCCACTTCTCAGAAGTGAAGGAAAAGGGACTTCTCAGGACTGGAAGGGAAAGCCTGAGGAGGGCTTATAACCTTGAATGGCAAAAATGAAATTAAACTAATCTTCAAATGAAATTCAGAGAAGAAAATGCCACACTTTAGATTTTAATAGTGAATAGAGAATTATTTTGTGAAACTTACTTTGATTCATTAATTCACCAGACTGCATGCCTACAGTTGAAGTTGCTGGTATATTCACATTCTGATGCATATGAATGAGGTATACATGTCTTGAGATGGTATGCAGCAGAAATTTGCAATAACTCTTCTTTCTCTGTCTCCTGTACTACTCTCTTGCTTCCAGGAATATGTGGCTGTTGGAGATAAGCTATAAAGCCTCTTCTTATTGAAGTCATTTGGCACTTTGCCATTTACTGACTTAAAAGCTGGGCTGGTTCCAACTTTTTTTTTTTTTTTTTAAGAGTGCTTGATAATTGTTTTGCTTTGATTTATATATATATATATATATTTAATTATTCCTCTTTTTTAACTGCAGCTGGTGCCGTATTTATCACCAAAGCCACCTGGCTGGGGTTGTGGTTGTTGTTCTACATGGAATGAGCCAACTCCATTTCTACAGATTCTATTTACAGTTCAGACACCTCAGGAGAGCGTTCCGCCATGTAAGTCCCCAGCCTGCAGCCTCGTCCTCTCAACTTCTGCCCGTCCTGAAGCCACATCCCAGGGATAATGGCTGCAGTGGAATCACTGCCTTTGCCCAGGGTGTGGCCATCCCTGACAGCAAGTGAGAGGATCTGTTTGCTGCAGTTGTCAGCTCAGAACAAAGGACAGGGCTTTGATATTAGGAACAGGATTTCAACACTCACATCTTTGAAGCCTTACCGGGTGAAATATTTATTGATGTTTCAGTCCTCTGGCTGTTACATATCCTGCATCTACAGGATTCCAATTAGATTATAAATATCTTGGAATAATTTCAGCAATTTAGTGAGGAGACTCTCTATAGAGTTATGCTAGTCTCACTGGTTGAAAAATATCACTTTTATTATTTGCACTTTATGTCAAGTTTCTCCCATTTCCCAGAAAGATTATGAAAATAATTAATTTTCTGACTTACAAGCAACATTTTTGAAAGAAGATAGAAAGAAGGACTTGAATTTAAGCTTCTAGAGAGTTCTTCCTGAACTACAGCAAATGTAAATCACAACTTAACTGGAAAGACTGGAACTAGCTTTAGCTTCTATCAAAGAAGGTCTTGGGATTTGCCTTCTTGATCATATCAGGCAAGGCAGATCTGTCCTGTAGTACAAAGAATCCTCTATCATCCCTCATTGGAACAGGTTTGATTTGTGTTGGGTTTGTCTACTTGCTAAAACACCAAATGTATTTCCACTATTTTTTTTTCATCCTCCTCTGAATTTGGCTGGCTTGGGGATCAATGAACCCCTAATTTTCTTCTTATCTCTGCCTGTCTTTCAAAGTCACTAATATGTTTTCACATTTTCATTTTTCAGAGATTCACATTAGCACCTTCTGCTAACTTCCCAGTCAGCCTGTATGGAGAAGGAACAAACCTGAAACCTCAAAACACTCCACAAGGTATTTTGTTTGGGTTTGCATTGCCTCTTTCAAGACAGTGACTCACTTTGAACAGAGATTCATGACTTTGCATCCTCTGCAATCCCAGTGTGCTGTCATGGTAAACTGGTTTAGAAAGGAACACATACAGTGGCTTAAACCATGAGACTCCTTACCTTGACTAGTTCAGTAACTCATGTTGGGCTGGTTGTCAAAGTAAATGAAAAATGAGAGAAAGTTCTTAACATATTTAATCCCAATCCCTGCTGCTTTACCACCCATTCTAAGATGTATCTAATCAAAGAGACAGAGATATAAACTAGGTTTGAGGTAAGAAGACTCTGTCCTTTTCTCTGACCCTCTCTCCAGTCTGTTGTTCCAGGTAGTGATTTGGAATGGTGCAGCTTTTAAGTGTTCATCTGATGTAGAAACTGAGCTTGACAGATGCTTCTGTATTTTACAGGCTTGACTTCCACCAGCAGTGAGTGCACTACTAAAAGCTCAGACTTGCAATGTGATCCCATCATTCAGAGATATGGAGAAAAAAAACAAGGCCTTACCAGCTATACTCTAACTTTAGAAGAGCAGAAAAAAAATGATTATCCCATAGAAGGTCAGTTTTTGGGTGAGGGCTGTTTATTGTTTTGTTGTGTTGAGGGTTGTTTTTAGTTTTGACAGTTTAGTGATACATTTTGTCATATGAGTTGTAGAAGAAAGATCTTCTTCTTATTCCCAGGTGTGTTTTCTCTCCAGGTTCCCCTGGATGCAAGGGCTACATCTCCACAGAGTGTGATCAGCAGAGGACAGACAGCAGCCCCCTCTTTGGTCTGGATTGTGAAATGGTAAAAATCAGTGTGTGTGGCCTTACAAAATAGAGTCAGGCACCCAGCTCTTATCAGCTCTTCCCAAGTAAGCCAATCTCTCTGTGTGTTTGTTAAACCACTTCTGATATCTTAATATCTGCTGCC